TCCCATTCTCTTGGTTGTTAAATTAGGACCAGAGGGTGGAAAGGGGGAGAAAGCAAAGGCCGGTGCTCAATTCACTGAGTTTATCAAGAAGTCTAGATTTGTAATTAAAACGAGTGTGTAGCATTTCCTGGTTATTGTGCCTTTGGGGTTTTTCCAGACTTCACTCTGTGTTCTTTACTGTTAGGAACATCTTTGAACAAAACATTTTTGAGATTTTTTTCTTATGAATTTATTCTCCAACGTGGGCTTAACTATAACTTTATGATGAAGTTGGCAGTCAAGAAGTTTCTGATCAGTTTGTGTAGGATACATTCATTCTTGAAGCATCTTAGGTGGGGGTTGGGGTGCAAGCCAGGTACATTCAGGAGCCCTCGTTGTCCCCTGGCTTAAGGGTCCCTTCAGAGGCTTTGCCAAGCTCTCCTGAATCTTTTTCTTGTAGTGAGAACCTTAAAGATGGACTCTCTCAACAGCTTTCACATGTGCAATATAGTATTAACTGATCTAGCAATGATTAACCTTTTTCAGAGCGCTCTGGCTGCAGTTGGAGGACTGACTAAGGTAGCAAAAATGAAACAGGAGGCTTTTGTGTTGAGCCAAAGGGATCTCTCACTTCTCAAATTCTGTACTTCACGTTGGTCACAGAGGTGCTGCTATCCCACAATGCCTGCTGCAGGCTCAGGTCTCAGCGCAGCAGACCCCGGCTGGAGGACTCGAGGGCAGGGAGCCTGGGCCTTGCCGCCCCCCTAACCCCCTGCCCTTTCCTCCTAAGATGTCCATATTTTCTCTCCACACAAGGACCCTGTCTTGAGGGGAGTCATTTGGGGAATAACTTGTATTAAGACCCTAAGGAGCCCTGGCCGGTTTGACTCAGCAGTTAGAGTGTGGGCCTGCGGTCCAGAGAGACCTGGGTTTGGTTCCCACTAAGGGCATGTACCTCGGTTGCAGTTTGTCCCCGGCCCTGGCTGGTCGTGCGGGTGGCGGCCACTTGATGTGTCCCTTTCACGTCAATGTTTCTCTCTCTCTCTCTCTCTCTTCTTCTCTCTCCCTCCCACTCTATCTGAACAAAAAATGGAAAAATGTCCTCGGTTGAGGATAAAAAAAAAAAAGACCCTGAGGAGAAAGTTAGCTTTCCTTGCCTGCCTTTAAAAACAGAAGCTTCATGTTTACCCAGAGGATGTATGGCCAGAGAGTGGAGGTGAGGGGCAGCGTTGGGTTGGGAAGAGCCATACTAAGGGGATTCAGTTTGATGAGAACCTTAAACTAGGAACTAAAAGCCTGGCTCAGCTCTTAGTATAGTGATGACTAGTGTCGATACATTTGAACACGTTGCTTAATCTTTTTTTTTTTATCCTCACCCGAGGACATTTTTTGTTCAGGTAGAGTGGGAGGGAGAGAGAGGAAGAGAGAGAGAGAGAAACATCGATGTGAAAGGGGCACATCGAGTGGCTGCCACCCGCACGACCGACCAGGGCCGGGGACAAACTGCAACCGAGGTACGTGCCCTTAGCGGGAACCGAACCCGGGTCTCTCGGGACCGCAGGCCGATGCTCTAACCGCTGAGCCAAACCGGCCAGGGCACGTTGCTTAATCTTTTGGGGTCTACCTCCTCATCTGCAGAGACCACGTCTGTCCTGCTGACCTCACGACGCCGATATGGGGGTGCAATGAAATAAGAATGTGGAGGCACTGTGTCCAGAGGTGCCACGGAAATCTGAGCTGGTGGCACCCCTTTCCAGGAAATTACAGATACTTGTAGCTTGCTGGCTGTTGGTATGGGCTCAGATAATTTTCTGTGAAACACCCGTCATGAGAGTGTGTGTGTGTTTTCCCTGGTTACAGAGCCCCGGGAGGAAAGAATGTGCCATGAGAGCCAGCCGACTGACTCCCCTCCCTCACCCACGACTGGTTTCAGAAAGCTGATGTCCCACCGTCTGGCCAATACATTTTAGCCGTCGTGTGGGCTATTCCTGGAAGGTTATTGGCTGAAGTCCCCATAGCAAAGGTCAGGGAGGTTGGCTGGGAGCACGGGAGATCTGCAAACAGTCACACATGCACGTAAACAAGGCACAGTCACAGTCATTGGAGACTCACAGTATTTGAGGATGTTACATATGTAAATTAGTAATTAAAATTGCTTCAGTGGCAGTTATCATCCAGGTTTTGAGAAGGGAGTGACTAATTCTGCCAGGGAGCGCATCAAGGAAGGCTTCCAAGGGGAAGGGGATTTGAATGGATTCCTGTGAGGCACCTGGACAACTGCACATAAAAAGGAGGGGAGGGCTTTGCCAGCAAAGAGCAGGGGTACGGAACAGCGTGGGGGGTTCCGGGAACGGGTGCCCCGAGAAACGAGGCTGCTACGATCAGTCCGGGCCAGACGGTGGAAACCGCGGTGTAAGCTGCTGTGGGCTTCTCTGACTGAAGATTTAAAAAGTGTATGTTTTCATTGATTTTTTAGAGAGAGAGAGAAACACTGATGTGAGAGAGAAACATCAGTTGGCTGTCTCCTGCATGCCCCACACTGGGGGTCAAGCCTGCAGCCCGGGCAGTGCCCTGACCGGGAATCGGACTGGGACCTCAGTCTGTGGGACTGTGCTCAGTCCGCTGAGCCACACCGGCTGCTGACTGAAGATCTTTAATTCATTATTTTTGTGTGTGCAATGTTTAGCCGTTGATGGAGCCATTCCGGGGCCCAGTGTGCTAGCGAGAGAGAAATGTAAGGGTGAGCCCCTGCAATGCCAAGCATGGTGCCTGTTTAAATATTTCCTGAAATGAGGAAAACGTGATGGTCGTCTCAGAGCCTCAGAGAGAGGATGCCTCTCCCGGACACCGGACACCGTGCTCTGTGTCAGCACGCTGAAAAAGCAGTTGCAATCAGCTGGTTGCGCTGTAGCTGGGCTCGCTGTCACGTCCACGCCCAGAGCAGCTGCCGAGGGCTCGGCCTTCCCCGCGGAGGATGGGGACGTGGGGTCCCTTCTCGTGAGCACCTTCTGTACAGCAGCTACAAAAATATTTTGGATGTTTTGTAATCAAGTGTGTGATTCAATTATCTGTCAGGCCTTGCTTCCCTATGCCTTGTCCCAGCCCTTTCCCCAGATGCCCCATGATTGGCTGGAGCTCAGGACGGCCAGGTTGACCTCTAATTCCTGTGTGTCCCCTAATCGGGGGACTCAGTCGCATCCAGCCTGCATACAGCAACAGAGACTTCAGGAGAAGGCATCTCCCACCCCATGCTGGGATCTGCTGGCCTGCGGTCAGGAATGTTTTCTTCATTCCTGATCAAGGCACCTCCGTGGTGTCACGTTGCTTTCCTGCCGTATTCCTTGGTGTTTGTCTCCTGATGATTCCAAAGTGACATTCAGAGGTTTTCACATCTAGACAGGGATTTGTTCTATCAAACCGTAAAACGGAAAAAAGTAACTTGTAAGATTGCACCTTCTTTGATATTAGGGACATAATTTATTCAGTTGGTTTCCTACTAGGGCCCAAAGAGAAAGAAGTTCATAGTTTTCAAAATTTTTCCCTTCCCTTTTTTCCTGGCCTTTGCCCCATTCCACCCCCCCCCCTTTTTTTTAATTGTGGAAAATTTTAAACATATACAAAAAAGGAGAGAACTATATAATGAACCTGCAATTACCAGCTTCAACAATGACCAACTTTGGAGCATCTTATATCATCTAGAGCCCACCACCTTAATTATTTTGAAGCAAATACCAGACATCCTATCATTTCATTCACGAATATATATATATTTTTTTATCCTCACCCGAGGACATTTTTCCATTTTTTGTACAGATAGAGTGGGAGGGAGAGAGAGGAAGGGAGAAAGAGAGAGAAACATCGACGTGAAGGGACACATCGAGTGGCTGCCACCGCACGACCAACCAGGGCCGGGGACAAACTGCAACCGAAGCACGCGCCCTTAGCGGGAACCGAACCTGGGTCTCTCCGGACCGCAGGCCGACGCTCTAACCGCTGAGCCAAACTGGCCAGGGCTCATTCACGAATATTTTAGTATATATTTCTAAAAGCTGAAAACTTTGTAAAATCTTAATACTTCTGTTATCACACCTAATAATTTTATTTTATTTATTGATTTGAGAGAGAGAGAGGGAGACAAAGGAGAGAAGGGGAAGGAAAGGGAAGGGGAGGGGAGGGGAGGAGCCGACGCCCAGGCTCGGGGCCCCTAATAAATTCTTAATATCACCAAATAACTGATCACTATAACATTTTATTTTAATCAGGTTCTATTGCAGTTGTTTATAGGACCTTTACATCTCTAGGTGCTCCTCTCTCTCTCTTTTCCCCCCTTGCAGTTTATTGAAGACACTGGGTCTTTAGTTCTCTTTAGTTTCACAAAGGTAGATTTTGCTGATTGCATCCTTGTCGTAGTGTTTAATATCTCCCTCACTCCTCTGTATTTCCTGAACATTTCTGTTGTGTACAAAGATTTGTTTGGGACTCCGATTCAATTTTTTGGCAAGCCTACTTTGTAGGTGGTTTTGTGAATTAACTTCTTTCAGGAGACACAAAATGTTTAGTTGTCTCTTTGTGTTGGTTGATTGAGTTTTTAAACGTGTTAAGTATTTTAGAGGGTTCAGGTCCCTTCACGTTTACCTGGGCCCAGGTGGTGGTCTTGAGAAGGTGGGAAAGAGTATGTGGAGGGTGTGCTCACTTTCTTTTCTGTTGACGTCTGACGGTGGTGGGGGCTTTATGTGTTCTGTCCCCACACTGTTTGCTTCTGTTGGTTCCTCCAGTCTTGCTGGAAGATGAATCAGTGCGAGTTTGGTGTAGGGCTCTGCCACAGTTTGTTTCTCTTGATCATGAAAGACCTGTTCACTTAAGAAACGTTACATAGGGAGAGGCTCAGAGTCTTTGAAAGTTTTGTTTTGTTTTGTTTTGTTTAGAAGTGTTTCTTGGTTTGGCTAAACTAGCTACTTTTGCTGATTTCTCCAGGTGTTTGTTTTCATTTCATTTGTAAAGTGATTCTTTTCTTCTTCCAGGATCTCATTTTGCCTAACGGTGGTACTCCAGCGGGCACTTCAAGTCCAGCCTCTTCGTCTTCCCTTCTCAACAGACTGCAGCTTGATGATGACATGGATGGTGAGACCAGAGATCTCTTTGTCACGGTCGATGATCCCAAGAAGCACGTCTGTACAATGGAGACCTATATCACATACAGGATTACCACCAAAGTAGGTCCCTTTATTATCATATGCCCATGTTGATCGGTCTTGGCAAATGAGTCCTACTGCCATGGTTTCTGCCTTTGCTTTCTCTCTTCTTTTGTACAACTCTGTTCCCCTTGATTATAACTGTGAGTACGGTTTTCTGAGAGAGTGGATGCATTCGATGAAAAGGGTTATAGGTAGATTTTTTTAAATCTTAAAATGAAGGAGAAATTGTGACTACAGTCTTTCAAAGAAAACATTTTATTCTTCTGTGGTTGACTCTTGAACAACATGGGTGCAAACGGCGCGGGTCCACTTATACATGAATTTTTTTTTCAATAAATACTGTATATGTGTTTTCTGTTATGATTTTTGTAATATTTTCTTTTCTCCAGCTTACTTTATTGTAAGAACACAGTATCTAATACATAACATACAAAAGATGTGTTACTTGACTGTTCATGTTATTGGTCGACAGTAGGCTATTTTTTTTTTTTTTTTATCCTCACCCGAGGACATTTTTCCATTTTTTGTACAGCTAGAGTGGGAGGGAGAGAGAGGAAGGGAGAGAGAGAGAGAGAAACATCGATGTGAAGGGACACATCGAGTGGCTGCCACCCTCACGACCAACCAGGGCCGGGGACAAACTGCAACCGAAGTACGTGCCCTTAGCGGGAACCGAACCCGGGTCTCTCCGGACCGCAGGCCGACGCTCTAACCGCTGAGCCAAACTGGCCAGGGCGACAGTAGGCTATTAATAGTTAAGTTTATGAGGAGTCAAAAGTTATATGCGTGTGGAGGGGTCAGCTCCCCTAACCCCCACTGTATTCAAGGGTCAACTGGACTTTCCCTGATTTTCTCTCATGATACCATTTAACATCTTAACATCGCATTACATTTGAAACTTATGAATGATTCTATTAAACTAAACCTCTGTGATGAGATCTTGATGATAATTTGGTATAACTAGACCCGATGGTAGGGGGAGAAGGAGTAAAAGAAGGATGGAAACTGATGTTTATTGACTTTCTGCTATGATACTACTGCCTTGTTTTCTCACACCTGGTTCACGTTTGAAATCTGTCACATGCACCTGCTCTCAGTCTTCCACCATTGCCATGGCCACTGGGTTCCTGCTGTTTCCCAGGCTCCGTGGGCTAGGTGCTCAGATGTGTATTATCTCCTCAGGGGTCCTAGGTTGACATACATATTTCCATGAATTACTTCCAGTTACTTATTTTATCCCTCTAAGGTCAACTTATTTTTTTACCCTGCAGTCAGTGAAATGCAAAACCTGTTTTTCTTGAATTTGCGCTATAAACAGCTGAATGGCAAGGTGACTACCTTGCTGGCAAGGCAACGCTTCCTCCCCTGATGTTTTCCCACCCCTACTTTATTCTCTGCCCTGCAGTTTGCCTCCCAAAATGCTAGTACTGCAGGACCTTTGTTCAGATTCACAGGCTAAGGCTCGTGCTACAACTCACCACTCTTTCCTTGCCTCTTTCCTTCCTTCCCCTTTCTCCTTGTGCTCTTCTTTCTCTTCCTTTTCCTGGGGCTATTTGTTTGCCTGTAAGTCAGATTATGGCTTCGGATAACTTTTTCCAAGTTCTAATCCCGAATTTTCATTTGGCTGCGATGTTAACACCTCCAGGTAAAGTTGTTGCAAAATTAAGTTTATTTATTACCGTCAATTCCAATTCTAATCTCAGACTGAGTCCTTTCTTTTCCTGTTTCAGATAGCGACAGCAGGTTTCAAATCTTGGTGATGCATTCATTTGGAGCCTTCTTTCTGAATGTTGTACAAAAGGACACTTAGAAAAGTGTGGGGATGAGAGAGCACAGACAGGAACACGGGGCCCCAAACACCAGATCTTGCCCCAGAACCCCCACTTCTGCTGAGGTTCTCAAGCAAAGTTAATGGTCAGAGGTCAAGGTCATACATATACTTATTCTACTACTTTGAACTTTGACTCCCAGTCCTAATCAGATTCCTGATGACCAAAGCTGGACGGAGTACAGAGTTGGTTATTCCTGAGCTAAAATGAGCCTAGAGGTTCAGTTGGTTAGAGTGTCGTCCTGATGTGCCAAGGTTGCAGGTTTGATCCTGGGTCAGGGCATGTACAGGAATCAAACAATGAATGCATAAATAAGTAGAACAACAAATCAATGTCTCTCTCTCCCTCTCTCTAAAAATCAATCAATAAAAAAAAAAAATTTTTTTTTTAAATGAGCCTAGGGCTGAGAGCTGATGTAGGCAAGGCGAATCTAAGTCGTGAGTTTCTTCTCTCTCTAAGGTGGAGAGACATCTTTCAGGGCAGGCTGAGGTGGTAGTTTTCTCAGCTGGCTCCTAGAGAGGAACATCATCACAACAACTCATTATCGAACACTTACCGTGTGCTCTACTAGTTTGCAATACAAACCCTTTAAATTTTATTTTATATAAGTAATAAGTGCTTATTATAGATAAGTTAGAAAACGCAAGTAAGCTAAAACAGTGAAATAAAAGATCTATAAGCTCTCTAGCCAGAAATAATCACTTATAACTTTAGGAACTATTTGTCTCTATTCACTTACAAAAATGAGTATTTTGCAGGCTGTCAATTCCCGCAGTACATTGCAAATATCTTTCTAGGCTAGTAAATGCCAGTAAGCATGCTTTTATGCTGTCAATCCCCAGGCTGCAGTATGGAGGCGCTGTCATTCGTTACGTGCCAAGTGCTTTCAATATGTCATCAGTTAACCCTCACACTCAATAAAATAGATACTGCTGGTATTTTTCTTTTTCAGATGAGGAATCTGAGACACAGGGATATTAAGAAAATTGCTCAGAGATATGCAACTAATACGTGGTGAAGCTAGGACTTGGATCCAGGACATGACATGATTTTCAAGAGAGGGATGCCCCTCCTCCCGCCCCCCCGCCTCCCCCATTGCTGTGGTTTACTACTTCGGCCCTGCTGTTGAGGCTGGTGATGATGTGGAAGCCGACTGGAGGTTGAGGAAAGAGAGCGGAGCCTTCAGCTCCCTTGAGAAACCATCCTCCTCTTGTCTTTACCCCGTCACCAGTTAGTCATTACCAACACGTGCCTCAACCAGTTGGTGTTTTTTCTTTTTAAAAACTTTTTTATTGAAGAATTATATAAAGAGACAGGTGCAAATATCATAAGCAAGTAGCTCGATGAAAATTTGCAGCGTGAGCACGTTTGTGTAGCTTACACCCGTATCAGGAAACAGAACATTGCCAGCACCGTGGGGTCCTGTGCTCTCCTGCAGTCACACACACCTTCCCCAGGACAGTCACGGAGGCTCTGGCTGCTACTTAACAAGGCCATATAGCAGCGGCTTTCAACCCGTGTGCTGCAAGGATTTTTTTTCTTTAGTAAAATTATTTATTTTTATTAATTAATTTATTTTTGTTATAGATGTTTTTCCTTTTTCCCCCCAGACACCCTCCTCCTTACCACCTTCCCCCCCAGCATTGTTGTCTATGTCCATTGGTTACACACACATGCATGTAAGTTATTTGGTTTATCTCACCCCCCCCCCCTTCCTCTGAGGATTGTCTGTCTGAACTGTACTCCTTTCGGTGTCTCTGGGTCTATTTTGTTCATCAGCTTTTTCTGTTCATTATATTCCACAAATAAGTGAGATCATGTCCCAACCAGCTTTTCTCTTCAAATGCCTCAGTGGTCAACAGGCTAAGTGCTGCGCAGAGGTCAAGCCGTAGGTAAGGGTTACAAAGTGAATGGCAGATTTAACGGCAAGGAGGCTGTGGGTGGATGACTGTGGTGAGAGCAGTGTCGCTGGTGTCGTGGGCGGGACCCAGTTTGCGGGGGGGGGGGGGGGGGGTAGGCTGAGTGAGAAGTGAGAAAGGAAGCCGTTGTGACTGTTTGTTGGTGGTTTGGCAATGAAAGTGAGTCTGAAGAACAGGCCCTGGAGGGGGCGTGTGAGGGGCTTGTTTGTTTTCTAAGGATGGAAGAGACTTGTTTACGTGCCAGGTGGACTGTGTGGTGGAGAGTGGACATTGGTTGAAGATCGGAGAGTAGAAAGCCACCAGGGAGGAGATAGTATTCTGAGCAGAAGTGGGGGGGAGGGGGAGTGTCCTCTGCTGAGGGAGGGGGACTTTTTTCATTGTTTCTGGAGAAAGAAGGGAAGTTTTTCTGTGGCAGAAAGTTGAGGGTTCTTTGCTTCCAGCTGCAGTTTTCTCTATGGATAGGTATTAGGTCTTCTACTGAGAGTGGCAAGGAAGTTTAGAAATGGGGCTGACACGTTTTCAAAACTTGTACAGGCTTTGTATTAACTGATGTGGAAGATGAGGGCGAGAGTTGGTTGAGGAAGTAAAGAAAGATCGCTTGCCAGTGTTGAGGGTCCAGTGGTGGAATTTACCGTGTTGATCAATGTGTTGGCCTGCTTTTGTTTTTCCTTCAGGAATGTGCTCACACACCCAGGTCTGTTAGAGCAAGAAGTGGGTGGCTGCATTTTTGCCAGAGATGTGGTGTGGACGGTGGGGAAGGGGGCACGTGGGCAAGTCACTGGTTGAAGTAATGGTTCATGGGATTGATGCTGAGGAAGGAAGGAAGGAAGGAAGACAGGGATGGACAAAATGTCAAGGAACTCTAGCTCCAGGAGACTGAAAAACCAAGGGGTATCGGGAAATGGCAGGCTAGAATACGGGGGTGCTGGCGGGAGAGGGAGATGTCTAAATACCTGCGCGATGACAGTTTGTGGAGAGACCGTGGGAAGGAGACGCGTCGGGCTTAGTAGTGGGTGTTGTATGTGCGAACCACCGGGCTCTCGAGGGCCCAGGCCGTGAAGGGCTTTGGAAAGGAAGCCTGGGAGCCAGTGCTCGCAGGGAGTCCGGAGAAACGGCAGGGCTATTCGTAGGTGGCCCGGGAAGAGGGACAGGTGGCTGTACCTTGACGGCACGAGCCTCGCAGGGTTTTCACGGGGCCAGGGCGGCAGTAGGAGCGGCGTGGAATGAGGAGGACGTCAGTGGCAACTCTCGTCTTGGAAACGAGGTTCGT